GTTTTTAGTTCTTATGCAGAGAAAAGCAGAGTGACTCTAAGGTGCAGAATGTCAGCGGCTCCAACACGTCCTCCTACATGTTAGAAACATAGACAGCTTCCTACTCAGCAAATCCAAACCCTTTTTCCATGTCAAAGCACTGTGAGCAGTAATCTGTAAAATAACTAGTTTTCTGGGTATTTGAAGAGTTCTGTAGCAGAGATGGTAGGGTCTTCTTTCACCTCTTGGCAATAGGAGTGCAAAAATGTCTAATTTAGAAGAGGGGTAATTTGTTCCCCTTTTCCGAGGATTAACAAGTATTCCCAAGCATCTGCTAAGCATAGCCCAGAAGCAAGGATTCTCTCCTGCTAAGGCTTTTGGGAGCTATATCCTCTGGTTTGTAGCTCGTTATTGCCATTAACTACACAGGGCCTGGTCTTCACGTACAGCGGCACAGCTGTACTGTTGTATATAAACATGCTCTTGTACTGATAGGAGAGTCTCTCCTGTCAGCATAGTTAATCCATCTCTCCAAGAGGCAGTAGCTATGTTGGCGGGAGTTCTCCTGTCGACATAGCGCCGTCTACGTGAGGGGGTTAGGCCAGTATAACTGTCACTCAAGGGTATGGATTTTTCACACCCCTGAGCAACGTAGTTGTACCGATATAGATGTGCAGGGTAGACCTGGCCTTAGTGTTCCTTGGTCCTATGGTGTTAGATGTGTCCCTTTTTCAATGGTTTGTCTCCATCTACTGGCAGAAAGAAAGCACGTTCCATCTTTTTGGGTGGTTAACTAGCTCTTTGCTTACATGAGTAACAAACTTGAACCATTTTTCCTTCTTTAGGTACAGATTAAATGGACCAACTTCTGCCAAATGTGTGGTTGCGGGAAATGGAGTTGATTGGGATAAAGAGCTTCCACTTTGCGAAGGTAAACTAATCTAATGGTTTTAAGAACGGTTCACATCTGGAGATGATGCAGCATAGCTGGTGCTTCAGAGGAGTCTCTGTTTTTACTTTGGCGTTTAATCCAAATGACAGATGAGTTGGGGGGAGGAATGAAATCATACTGTGGTTCACCATGGTGTTTGGATGACTCCTAGAGTATCAATTTTTAGTTTGTTCACCTGGCACTGTTTAATATACATAATCCAACAGGCCTCATGGCTCCTCTTCGCTGTTGTATCTGGTGTAATCCTGCAGTTCACTAAGTAAAAGGCATGATAATGACTTCAAAAAGTTTTGACCCTTCCCAAACCTGATTACCCACTTAAAATTTGAAGCTCTTTGGGAGTGAATCACGATTAAATTGCCTCTACCTTAATTTGATCTCTTGGATGCTTTCTGGGCTTGTTCTGTCAATCATGCTGCTGATGGTCCAGTCTGGAATCAGCTGTTGCTACAAGAAATGTCCTAGTTTAGTTTTCTGCTGGTGGAACAACACTACCTCTAGAGACGGCGGGGGAGAGGTTCTGGCTCCCTGAGGCTAATGTTGGGGAGGGGCACGTTCTGTTAAGGTCATCTTCCAGAGTTGGTGTTTTATGGAGCATCCTCCTTGAGCAATGGACGTACTGGGTTGGGTCAAGCCTAAAAGCAGAAAAATCTTCAGAATCTGAAAGGGGTCTTGCTTCAAATGTTAAAATGCAATGTTAAGTCCCCTTCCAAATGGCTAAATAGCTTTCTGGGGGGATCTGAGACAACTTTAAAGGTGAACTGAAGAGAGTTTCACTAAGAATGTAAACTTTAATTTTCATGTTGACATTCTTTGCTTCAGCAATACCTTGTCCTCCACCTCCTCATATCACCCATGGATCCCATACTGGTCAGACTGTACAAAAGTTTTCCTTTGGCTCAGCAGTAACTTACAAATGTGACCAGGGCTTCTCTCTTATTGGAGAGGCCTCCATTCATTGTACAACGAAAGATAATGTCAACGGAGAGTGGAGTGGGCCTGCCCCTGAATGCAAAGGTTAGTAGCGTCTGTTTTTATCCCCTTCTTGTTCTACTATCTCCTCCCAGGAAAAACTGTGTTTTGACTACTAAGTAAACCCATAAACCTGAGGAAATTCAGTTAGTGCTTAGTCCCTCTAAATACGTATAATGAAAACTAGTTACTGTTGGGAAAGTAAAGAATGACTAACACTTCATAAATAAGCAAGCCTTAGAAGCAGGATTGTTTGGAAATCATATTTTTCATATGTCGATCATATCGATATTTTTGGGAGCGGGGAGACATGATGAAAGTGTAGGAGGATCCATTGTGTTGCTGGTTCCTTCTGTAGAAGCCACATTTCAAACAAACAAAAGAAACCCAGAGCACTCTCTATCCCTACAGAACATTCCCCTAGAGCTTGCTGTCTGGTGTATAGATTCCAGCCCAACTAACGACCTAAACACAATTGAACCCTGAACACGTAGATGGTGGGGTTCGATTAGTTTCT